GTTTATCGCTGCTGAATAGTTTTCGATTGTATCGACTGGTTGCACTAATCGATATGGCGATCGATTGTTCTAGACTCTTCCTGAACTGTGGCTGTAGGTTATGTTGCGCCTATCTCACTGTATTTGGCCTCTGAGACTTTGGTGTGCTTCTCAGAGCAGTGGGAATGCGCTTTCCTTGAGAATGAGATGTATATTATCCTTATGAACGTGCTTCCCGACTATCTCAGTTGCAAATAGTCACGAGGATTTCACGCTTGTCGATGTGGCGATACGCCGATGAGCTTGATGGTCTTTGTATCTCCAGTAGACTGCGGCTGGAGAATCCGGTTTCGAAGGACCAAATAATATGTTGATGGGTTTTGTTTAATAAGTTCTCCTCGATAGCTTAGAACTATTAGTATATTTCTATACGTACTTTCTTACAGAACTTGTTTCGACCCGAGCTATGGCGCACACACACACACTTTCTCTTTTTTCAACGGCGACCCTGGTGTCGGCGTTACCGAACTAATACATTGGTGCAAGACGCGCGAAGCAAATAAAAATCAAATCACAGTAACAATAGTTCTCCACAGACAGTTCTTGTGACAAAAGTGTATTTCGGGATCGGAGCACGGTCAAGCCAAGAGACTTTTCAATACGAATCAATTCGCCATCGGTCGTGAGGCGAACGCGTAAGAGACACGGTGCAATGGGGTTGACGCGTGAGGAAGAAGCAGCCGCTCAGCTAACGGTGGAGCAACAGCAACGACTAATCGAACAGCAACGTCAGCATCTGGAGAACGAGACCCGCGCGCTTGAGCAGCAGAGACTGCAGTTGGCGCAGCATCCGGGGGTGATGATGGATTTAGTGACGGCCGTATATAGGTACAAACTTTGTAATTGAATTGACGCGAGTACGTAAAGCACATACGACGGGGTTATCTCTATCTCACCTAGTCATTTATATTTCTTTTTTTATACTACTCACGACTAGCTATCATGCCTATGGACCCAATTTCTTTTTTGGTATAATTTTACTATTACGACGGTGTCAATCAGGCGTTCAGCCCGACTCAGCTATATATACATATATCGCATATTCATATGTGTTAGCTTATCTTGTATTGATCGGTTTTTTTATTGTAATGCGTTAGGTATGCGTCGCTTTAATTTAAATTATATTGAGCAGTAAACGGTGCGACGGCCGCGCTGTCAACCTCGCAGTATGTAGACACGCGTATTTATCGTGCTATTAGTATAGCACTGGCGGGGGAGTACTGTGGCGAGTATATCGTCACATCCAACGGCTATAACGCGCGAATAGACAAATCACATATACCCATGTACGAATTTCATAACGGCATAGTGCTGGCTTGGTACTAATGCCAGAGTTGCCAGTACTGGCTGACAATTCTGGGCCAGTATAAGCCAAGATTGGGGTCATTACTGGGACAATGTCGGAATGATAACAC